TTTTTTCTAAGAGACCCAAAGTATTGTGGATGCTCTAAATGGTGATTTGGACCATGGTCCATGTTGCGTATAACTGGAGCGGTATAGGGGCATCCCGATAATTGGTCACGTGAATTTCCGTCCAATGCTTCGTGTCCATAAAATACTCCAAAATACATAAAATAATATATAAAACATCAAAGCAAACAAATCTATTCAAATAATAAATAAGTCGAAAAATCTAAACGTGTCAATAATTAAGTGTATAAAAATACACCCTTACATTTATAAAACATGCACATTTTTCGACCTATCAGGGGTCGATAATCAACACGACCTCCGTCAATGCATACAAGGGCAATGTGAAGCTGCTCGACTACACGACCACAAAAGGTGCTATCGTGGCTTTAATACGTGGCCTTTCCCTCCAGCTGGTTGACCGTGGCATAAGAGTCAATGGGGTTGCGCCGGGACCCATATGGACCTCTCTTATACCGGCCTCGTTCACGGAGGATGAAAGTTCGAATTCGGGAAGCAAGTCCCGATGAAGAGGGCAGGGCAGCCTATTGAGGTGGCCCCTTCGTACGTTTTTCTTGCCTCGAATGTTGACTCGTCTTACATAACGGGACAAGTGCTCCACCCGAACGGGGGCACAATCGTCAGTGCGTGATCTTATATATATATATATATATATGCGTATATATAATGCATGTATATAGCTTCTAGCTCCCCTTTGTTTTTGGTGGTGTTTTGGATTTTGGGTTTGTAAGGGGGTAATGCTTTTGTGATATGTGAATACATAATGTTTAGCTTCAACCGACTGATGAATTCTTTCAAGACCCGCATACGAAAAAGAGTCCGACTTTTCTTGCATTAAATCATTCATATATGTGTAGATATAACCAACATGAATTGGTATAAATGTGCCACTAACTTAATTAATTTGGATCACATGGGAATATGAAGTTAATCGATGTTTGCAATTAAAACACATAGGCAGCAGCGAATAGTATCGTCGCGTCGCAAAAGTCGGGTACAACAACGCGTCGCAAAAGTCGGGTACAACAACAGAAGATTCGAAAACTACAACAATCAACATAACTTAAAAACCAAGATCACCACCATCTTTAACTAAATTCCAGCCCAACTTCTTAACTACTTACGGCTTTTGGCCTGACCTCAATCCCCTGACAAATGAACCCTCTTTTCCAGTAACCGTGCCTCATCCTAAGCACGCCAAACTCCAGATCAGCGTGTTCTCCTCCCTCGACAAAATACTCTCCCAACTTGACTTCCATCCACCCGTCACCCCTCGGTGTTGGTTGCCTGATATCATTAGCATTCACATCAGCTGCAATCTCCACCATCCGCTGGTAGGACCTGTCCGAATCTATAAACACCCAGCTCTTTACCCTCTCATGACCGGTCAACTCCACAAAAACCTCGGCCGGGTTGTTATGCAATCCATTCGTCTCCGCTCTGAACAATCCAGTGGTCTCCGCTCTAAGGGTGAAAACTAGGTATGCCACGTAGCATGTACCGGGCGAAAGCATCTTGGTACTAATTTTGCCTCGTATTTCGAACCTGCACACTGTGAGAAGCTCTGCCACCTCAGGGAACCTGAAGCAAGCAAATGGACTGAGCGTTTAGTTCTTATGTTTATCGTGCAGAATGAATGACGAAGACCACAACAGATTAGCACAAAGCTGCAAGGACCTGATTTGTAATAACCAAGAAATAGAGGGGGGTGTTTGAATTTACCTAGACTCGGGAAGAGGGATCCATCGCCAATATCGGGGAGTATCGCCCCAAATGATAATGAGATCTCTTGCTGCTATCATGTAGCATTTCTTTCCACTGCTTTTCTCTAATGAAAAGCTCTGTTCAACATTAGACAAGGATAAAATAATATGATAGCACAATTTTTAGTTTATTTTCACAAAAAAAACCCCACATGTAACCATTTTTTTTTTCGTAGCCAGTCACGATATCCGGAGCTATGTCCGACTAATTTGATAGCACAAATCAGAATGTGTAGTCATATGAACAATAAATCCAGTTACCAATCATTCTCATCCTAAAAACAGCCAAAAGAAAAAAAAAGGAGAAATAAACCGACCTTGCGGCTGCCATCGATGAGAATTGGATGATCAGACAGGTACAGATACAGGTCCATTTTAGAACGGAATTGAGAAAGCAGGACATCAGGGTCGTTGACGGCGGCAATCACCTCGCGATAATCGGAAGGCAGGAACCGACCCCAAACGACGTCGGACCGGGAGGCAGAGCCGAACGTGGAGACGACCGCCGATAGCCGGCAGGCGTCCTTAGGGCTCGTGAGCGAGAGGACGTTGGCAATGCAGCCCTCCGGAAGCGCGTTTATGTCACCGAAGCTCTGCAACGCCATTTTTAGAGGACCTTCTGTAGAAACCTTCTCTAGAAAAAACGAGCTAGCAGTGAAGTTCACACACTCCAGGCCACCCTTTATATATACAGTAATGCTGTATCTTTGCTTGCATTTTGTACGTGTGAGATATTCGAATATTCCCCGAAGAATATTCTCCTATTCTC